GTACTGGTACAGCGAGCTCAAGAACTATTTAAGTCAAATAAATATGACGACTGTCTACTTTATTGTCGTTATGTGTTGAACGTAAACAAGTACTGTCCGGAGGTAGTGGCTATGATATTAAAAATCACCCTCGGTCAAATTCTAAATCAAAATAATCTGGACACAAACGATCAACAAATTAATAGTGGGATTAATACAGATAACTTCCAATATAAATTGGATTCACTATTTGAGCCCATAGTGTGCGCCGCCTATCACTACAGGGATGAGCCGGAAATACAGCAATTAATGTTTGAACAGTTGGTGGCCCGCGAACTATATATGGAGGCCCGGGCGCTGTTGGCCGAGAATAACACGATTGTACCTGCTATAAATAGACAACTGTTGGTCACCATAGAGACCACGTGCGAGCACCAGAACAGTGAGGCGCTCCAGGCGCTGGTAAATGCATACCTGTTTAGAGATAGCGCTCGATATATACTAAAACATAGGTGCTCTAAAAAGATCATCGATGACATTTGCGTGGATTTTGCGGCCAACAAGGACCAACAGTCGGCATCTTATCGGGCAATGTTGCTGGTGCTCAGGGGCTGTGCCCTACTGTACGAACACGATTACCATAACTCGTACGAGAGTCTGCGGGACGCGCTGTATGTCTACCCTTTTGAGGACTGTATGGATGCAGTGGTATTACTACTGGGCGCCGGACACAGAGAGTCAACCATTGAACATTTATTGAAATTTACCAGTTTGGAAAATATAAGTCCCCCACCCACTGACACACACTACGCCCATATGCTTAAGAGTCACACCACCCTGCGCACTCTGATCAAGTACGAACGTGGTATTCATAGCTCAAAGTATAGCGATGATAATATGCTTGTCGAGAAAGCCATGCTCTACATTGACCTATGTATGGCCGTCGCTTCACCAATCCTACTGGCGAATAATATGACCATGGCCAGTAATTATCTACTGCAACACATGAACACATGGTTGCCTGATGCAGATCAGGTTGACACATACCATGCCCGCCTATACGCTTACCGTAATTGTATATGCGACTTATCAGGCACAGCACTCTATTTTGCTAGCCGCTACCTGGACCCAATCAGCGTGATAAATTATTCTGCACAGATTTTTAGCCTTATGAACAGCGCACATATTACCCTGGCCAAACATATTAAACTTTCCAAACAGTCGTATAATATCAATGGTCACAATAAGCGTTTATTAATTGATCAGGATCACCAGAGTCTTTTTAACTACACGAATTCATTATTGGAAAAGTCAATAAAAGTGTGCCCTATTGTTAGTATGCAATTGCATAGTAGCTCGGACATTTTATTTGTCAACATGGTCAACAACGAGTTTCTCGAGCGATATTACACGTACTATGCGGACAACTCCAAAACTTTGACCCACGTATACAAGTACTACCTGTTGGAGGGCAGTTGGAAACAGTGGTTCCCGGAGCTAATGTTTGTCAACCGTAGGGAACATTGTATGCGAGCGCTGATCCGACAAAAGGGTTTAAACATCAATCGGATTGAGGCAATGATGCGATGGCCGACTGTACGCCGGGACAGCTCCGGGTGGATAGACAGGAGGAACCTAACACTCAAGCTCCCCGGGCAAACGTTTACTAGTGTCGAAGGTCTGAAAATAGACATTGAGCAGGGTACATTTGAGCTATTATTGGGCAACAATAAAGGCATGCCAGCGCTCATCAATGCGGCCGACATCGATGAGGTGTTGAACCTGAGAGTAACACACAGTGTGTTCAGTCTGGACCCGGTGTCCGACGGTTGGGATTACGATTATCACCCCTTCCAACGGCTTCGGTACTCACCAGGCGCAATTAAGGACACCCACTATCTGGCTACTTTACTGCACGCCGACTACTTGCTCAAAATGTTTACGATGGGCACAGAGGTGTCCGCACACCAGCCCTTCCCTATGCGTGACGGCTATAGCGACGCCTTTCTCAGTGTATTATCCGAAGAGCTCCGGGAGGACCTGCGTCTGGACCGGGAAGGCAGCACCGGTATCTCAAACTACGGCCAAACGCACCGTTTCTGGATCGAGGCCCAGGAGTTGGGCTACGACGAGACAATTGACCCGGATAATGGGCGGAGGGTCATCGAGTTTCACGAATGTACTATGGTAGTTAAGGAACATCTGATGAAACGTGATAGCGGCGGTGCGCTGGTCGACGATACGGACGCCGAGTCAGACACGTCTGATACGGACTCGGATGATGACACGGGTGAGCGCCCGCAACCGCACCGGGAGGTAAATGCGCACAAAAGGTTTGCCCGCAAATTCACAGAAAGCTACGACGATATCGGCGACTATTTTCCTGTGTTTCCCCGTTTGCGTGAATTACTTAAGTTGAATGCTGTGGCGCTGCTATTGCGCGGCGTTTACGATGGTCTGGAGGCCAGCAAACGTGAGGTGCGCGTAGATGAACAGCAGCTCCGGGATGTGTTGGGCCGACTACGGGCACAAATACAGTACCCGCTCAACACTGAGGCCAAAGTTAGAGAGATATATAGGGAAACACTTCGCGAAAACGGGATATCCAGCGATCAGGTCAGAGAAAGTGATAAGGGTGAGCTTAAGCGTAAGATCAGGCAGAGTCTAGACAACCAGGAAACAAAGGTGCTGGATCAGTTAGCACAGGCCTTGAATGAAGGTCTGGAATTGGATAGTCCGCAATGGTTACGAAAGGAAATAGACAAATGGTTGCGCAGAGGGAATGCTGATAAAATGACCGAGCTCTTGCGTCAGCACATCACTAATAACCGTATAAACAAACTAGATCGGTTTGCACAGAATTGTAAAAAATTGGGCATGCCGTTTGATGGTGAGCACGGTATTTGCGATGATTTTGCTACAAACGGTGTAAATGATTGGATACCCGCCGCCTATTCCCGCACCAGTCACTGTCGCACGTATGGCGGTGTGTGCCTTATACCGCGCTTAGTTAATGTTAACGAACCAAGATCCGGAGGGGAATCTAGCGCTAATGGTGGCGATTACGGACATGGAGGGTCTAAAAGCAACAGTGGTCAGAGATCCAGTAGTAATAGTCGTCGTAATGGTGGTAGCAGTGGCGGTGGTGGCGGTGGTAATGGCAAAAAACGCAAAGGACGTTTCAAATCTCAAAAAGGTTAGCATTATTTTATAAATTAGCATTTCTAGCATTTTGTTTATTTATAATAATTTTTAAAATTTAAGCAGGTCGTATAGTTTTATAAATTCTATCGTATTAATTGTTAATTTAAATTTATAATATTTATTGTTTGTATTTACATTTTACCGTGTTAGGTACCAAAACTATTGACGGTAAATTAATACAGGTGGGTGACAGCGGAGAGGATGTTGTTCATTTTATATTTGTCAACTCATATAAAGAAGGCGAAGAGCTCGCCAGAAGCATGAGCGATAAACAGGCTAATGGTAAAAAAATAAAAGTGGAGTTTCACTCTGGTGTAAACAAAAAGAAGACAGAATATTATAATCCAAATCGTAAAGGTGATAAATATGCCCATTTTCACCCTGTTGATGAAAATGGCGACAAGAAAGGTAAAGTGCACATTTGTGTCCGCAAAAAGAGAAGATAACGTAGAATATTTAATTTTAAACATATTCTGCCATTGCTTTGCGATTAAATATAATATGAATGTTTATTTAATCAAGTGTATTGATTTATTATTAAAATAGCATAGCAATAAATTAATTATATTTGTTTAATTCTATTATATTTATGACGAGAAAGAGAGAGAGAGAGAGAGAGAGAGAGAGAGAGATTTTAATTACTTTCGTGATAACAACAATTGATATGATTCATGATTTAAATAATTTATACCTCATGTATGTCATGTGTAACCATAGTTAGTTATATTTTAGGCATATTGTACAAACGCCATATTTGTAATAAACAGAACAAAAGACAAAAAAAAACATCAATGAAAATTTCTAAATGACACAACTTGACATCTTGGTACTATTTATTATTAAAAATATTATAGTTAAATAATGATAATTAATATTTTATTACATATTTATATAAATAGTAAAATACGATGAATTTCAAAGAGTTTGATAAGGATTACTACAAATTCTTGGGCATCGATAGGACGGCCAACAGTCATGACATTCACCGCGCGTTTCGGCAAAAGTCGCGTCTCTATCATCCGGACAAAGGGTCGGGCAATGAGGAGCTCATGAAACTGTTGACTCAATGCAAGCAAACACTACTCGACCCGGACATGAAAGCCCGTTATGATGACAAATACGACCCTGGTAATAACCATGAAAATGATAATGACCAGGATGATCTTACGGACAAATTAAGACTAAATTGCGGTCAAAAGTTATCGGATAATTATTTGAAAAAATTGGACGAATGGACAGAAGAGTTTGCGGGCATTTCATTGGTCGACAATCGGGAGTTTGTTAACCAAAAATGGCTAGAATTACGCGATAAGTTGACTAGTAATTCTGATACAATCGAGCACTCTATCAGCGAACGTGATATCTATACAGGATTTCTCATTAAAAACAAAAAGGACACTTTACTAAATGAGCTTAAAAAATTAATCCCGGACAATATTTGGTCATTAAACGATATCCAATCTGGTAAATTCCTGTTTGCAGGGTATAATTTGTTTAAGTTGGATATATTCATCAACAACCATAAGATGGGCGACCGGTATTTTAAACGTGGTGATTACAAATGGGCACTGTATTGTTATCAAAAAGAGGGCACTATGAACACAGTACTGGTACAGCGAGCTCAAGAACTATTTAAGTCAAATAAATATGACGACTGTCTACTTTATTGTCGTTATGTGTTGAACGTAAACAAGTACTGTCCGGAGGTAGTGGCTATGATATTAAAAATCAATCCGGGCGCTGGTCAGGGCGTACCGGTTCGCGGACAGCGCCCTGTATATGCTGCGGCACCGGTGCACCAAAGCCATTAACGGCGTGTATTTGGAGCTGTCGGGCGGCGCCGGGGCCAGGGGTTTGAGCCCCGATCAGCCCAATGACAGGCCGGCACCGCACCGGGCGATGCTGTTGATACTCCGAGGCTGTGCCCTACTGTACGAACATGACTACCATAACTCGTACGAGAGTCTGAGGGACGCGCTGTATGTCTACCCCGTGGCTGACTGTATGGACGCAGTGGTGGCCCTATTGGGCGCCGGACACGGCCTGTCAGCTATCGAGCACTTGTTGAGTTTTATTAAGCTAGAGGATTTAAGGGCCCCGCCAAGTGCCAGTCAGTACGCACATATGCTCAAAAGCAACACCACCCTGCGCACCCTGGTCAAATATGAACGCGGTATTCACAGCAATAAATATCGCGATAATAAGACCATGGTGGACAAAGCGATGCTTTACGTTGACTTGTGTATGGCGGTGGGTGTGCCGGTGCTATTGGTCAACAACATGACCATGGCCAGTTATTATCTACTTCAACATATGCTCACGTGGGCGCCCGATGATGGCCAGGGCGGGGACACATACCTGGCCCACCTGTACGCATATCGTAACTGTATATGCGACCTATCGGGCACAGTGCTGTACTTTGCCAGCCGCTATCTGGACCCGATCAGCGTGGTCAATTACAGCGCCCTGTGCTTCAACATGATGAACCGCGCTCATGTGACCCTGGCCAAACAGATTAAACTCACCAAACGTACCGCAAACACCTCTAACAGCAATCGGCGCGAAGAGAGACTATTAATTGATGAAGATCACCAAAGCCTGTTTACCATGATTAATCATTTACTACACAAGTCCACAAAAGTGTGCCCTATTGTCAGTATGCAATTGCATAGTAGCTCGGACATTGTATTTGTCAACATGGTCAACACCGAGTTTCTCGAGCGTTACTACACGTACTTTGTGAACAACCCCTCGTCCGCCACTACAAACTCACTGACACACTTATATCAGTACTACCTGTTTGAGGGCAGTTGGAAACAGTGGTTCCCGGAACACAAATTCCCGGTATATCGGGAACAGTGTATGCGAACACTATTGCGCCAAAAGGGTTTAGATGTGCGACGAGTGGAGGCTATGATGCGATGGCCGGCCGTACGCCGGGACAGCTCCGGATGGATCGAGCGGCACAACTTGACACTAAACCTGTTGGGCCAGACATTCACCGGTGTGGAGGGTGTGGTGATTGACATTGAGCATGGTACGTTTGAGCTACTACTGGCCAACGATCCGGAACGGCCGGCGCTCATCAACACGACCGACATCGATGAGGTGCTGATACGTGGCATAACGCACGGTGTGTTCAGTTTGGACCCGGTGTCTGATACGGACCATTACGACTACCACCCATTCCAACGGCTCCGGTACTCACCAGGTGCAATCAAGGACACCCACTATCTGGCCACTCTACTGCACGCCGACTATTTGCTCAAAATGTTTACAATGGGCACAGAGGTGTCCGCACACCAGCCCTTCCCTATGCGTGACGGCTATAGCGACGCCTTTCTCAGTGTATTACCCGATGAGCTCCGGGAGGACCTGCGTCTGGACCGCGAGGGTCGCACCGGTGCCTCAAACTACGGCCAAACGCACCGATTCTGGATAGAGGCCCAGGAGTTGGGCTACGACGAGACAATTGACCCGGATAATGGGCGTAGGGTCATCCGGTTTGACCAGTGCAAAATGGTGGTCAAAGAGCACCCGATGAAACGCCTGAGCGATGGCACACTAGTCGACGACACGGACACAGACGGCGAGCACCGGGAGGCGACTCCTGAGGCAAGATTTGCCAAATTATTCACCGAATGTTACGACGAAATCGGCGAGTATTTCCCGCTGTTTCCCCGTTTACGGGAATTACTCAAACTCCAAGCGGTGGCCACTATTGTGCGCTCAGTTTACGAGAGTCTGGAGGCCGGCAAACGGGACGTCAGGGTAGACCCGGAGAAGATCAGAGCGATACTGAGCCGACTCAGAGACCAAATACAGTACCCCATAAACACTGAGCAGAAAGTGAACGAGTTATTCACGCAAACCCTGCGGGAAAACGGCGTACACAACGAGTACGAAGTGAGTATGAGCGAGGTGATGCGCGTCAAACGGGACATCGGCGCCAATTTGGCCGGTCTGGAGGACCAGGTGCTCGATCAGGTGGCCCGAGCGCTGGACGAGTCGCTAGAGCTCGAGCGACCACAATGGCTCAGGCCGTTGACCGCCCATTGGATCAGATACGGTGAGGAGCAGAAACTGGTCCATCATTTGCAGAGACATATGGAGCTCCGGCTGGTGGCAAAGTTAGCCAGATTTGGTCAGGGGTGCAGAAATATGGGCATGGTGTTTAGTGATGAGCAAAGCGATGGCGATGATTTTGCTAAAAACGGTTCAAATGATTGGATACCCGCCGCTTATTCCCAGTCCAGTCAGTGTCGCACCTATGGGGGCGTGTGTCTGGTGCCCCGTATGAAAAATGTTAACGCACCTGCATCTGATCAGACTAGAGGTGCCACTAGTGCTGCTACTGGTAGAGGTGTACAGGGAATGTTCAATAGTGCCGGCGGGCAGAGTTTGAGCACTGGTGGCGGTAACGGTAGTGACGATGCCAAACGTGGTAAAAGCCCATTTGTCCCCCATACAAGTTAGTATAAGTTGTTATTTAGACAAGTGTTTTATCGTGTCAAGTTGCATTTATCTATGCTTATATAATTAATTATTTTATTTTAATTAATTACATTTTGTGTTTAACCCTAATTAGCAATGAAAACCAAACAAGGTGTTCACGTTAAGATTGGCCCGAGTGGTCGGCCAATGATTCATACGCCCCGTTATAGCACATGTAAGGCGGCCCGGGAGGCGGCCGAGAAAGCCAGCAAAAGTCAACAACACCGTGTGCTCAATCACAATGATCCTAGTAAACAGAAACAATTGAGCGGCCAAAAGTTGCATGATCATCACAATAAAAATTTGAAAGGTGATAAAAATCCTTACTTTCACGCCGTAGACTCCGAAGGCGAGAAATTGAACGATGGTGCACATCATTTACACCCTAAATAAATGGTAGATTTACTAATTAAATCTAAATTATTTTTTATTTTTATAAATTGTATATATTTTTATTTCGATTAATGTACAAAATAATTGTAAAATAAACAGGGCGAACAGTTGTGTTTTTTTACTATATTGCAAAATAACTGCGTTTTTGGGGTTATTTAAAAAGCGGAAGTTATTACTAAAAATTATAAGTAAAATCTGTAAGGAGTCGAATGATATACTTTATATGGCCAGACGATCTCTTGTTTGACCGCAGTGACCACTTTTATTTAAAAAAATTTAAAACAAAATATTGTATATCTATATCATATAATATATCAATAGAAAGGTATGAATTAAAGAAGTAGAATTCCGAAGAAATTTCTCAATTCAAACGCAATCAAAAAGTGTTACATAAGAAATAAAAATTTTAGTAACTTTTGTGCAC